GTTAGGGACATGGAAAGACACCCTTATATCTGCCTGGGCTATCTTCCTTCTAAACCATTGCCAGAGCAAGTCAAATATATTTCACCTAATTACGAGCATGACCCAGTTGATGAGCCGTGGTTAGCACTGGCGAAATGGTCCCGACGATCAAAAAATCGCGACTTCCTCCATCCTACGAAAGATGGCCCTCCAAAAAAGAATGGACCGTACCAAACCGCAATACCGGCAGCACGATGCACCCTAGACACCATCAACGTCTCCAAGGTCTGCTTCGGCAGACTCATACCTTCGATTCTTCATATGCTAGAGGTCCAACTCATAACCGAGGAACTTTGCAACACTGCTCTGAAAGACGTTTCGTTCTCTAACCACTCGCTCGTCAGGACTGCTATCAGCTCGCGCGCCGCCCAGGAATCGACGGATTACGAAAGGCTAGAATTCCTAGGCGATTCGACCCTGAAGATAATGGCAACGCTATCTGTCATGATCCAGCGTAGGCTTGACCGTTCCCTTGACATAGAGGTTATGCTAACTCATTTTTTCCATTGCAGATCCCTACTATCCAGAAGGCTATCTCAGCTTTAAGAAGGACAGAATCGTATCGAACTCACGACTTTACCGCGCTTCGATCGATAAGGGCATGGATAGAATCATCTTGACGAGACGTTTCAACGGGACCAAATGGCATCCATTATACATAAGGGATTTCCGTTCCGGCGAAGAAGAAGAAACCGCCACAACAGAAAGACAAATGTCGACCAAAACCCTCGCAGACGTAGTGGAGTCCCTGATCGGAGCGTCGTTCATAGACGGCGGTCTATCGAAAGCCCTAGCTTGTCTGCGGACTTTTCTGCCAGAGGTAGAATGGCACAGCTTTTCCGAGGCACAAGAAATCCTCTACAACTATAGAAACATGGTAACGGAGCTGCCGCCCGACTGTGAGCCACTGGAAGATCTCATCGGCCACAGGTTCCGGAACAAGTCCTTATTGATGGAGTCCATCAGCCACGGATGTCTGGGTCTGTACACAGAGACAAGCATGGAACGACTCGAGTTCCTGGGCGACTCGATCCTCGATACGATAATCGTCTCATTCCTATGGAAACGCGAACCCGAGCTAACAAACCACCAAATGCATCTCCTAAAAACAGTCTCAGTCAACGCCGATCTGCTCGGCTTCCTAATGATGGAATGGCACACGACCCAAGAGACAGTCAGCATTCCCCCCCACGACCAATCCGTCATGTTGACGCAGGAGCGTCTCCCCTTCTGGAAGTTCATGCGCCACCGATCTTACGAAGTAAGCCGCGTGCAGCAAAATGCCGAGTCGCGATACACGGCCGAGAGAGAGGGGATAATGAACCTCTTCATGGAGGGGACGTCCCACCCCTGGGCCGAACTAGCCCATCTCGACCTCCCCAAGTTCTTCTCCGACATGTTCGAGAGCGTCCTCGGCGCCGTGTGGGTCGACTCTGGCTCCCTGGAGGCGTGCACGCAGATCGTGGAGCGAGTGGGCATATTGCCGTACCTGCGGCACATCATATCCGATAACGTGGAAATCCGACATCCGAAGAACAAGCTGGGAGAACTAGCCGGCCGCGAGCGGAAGAAGGTAAGGTACGAGACGGAAAGGGTGCGGGGCGAGGACGGCGAGCGGGATCTTCTGTGCAGGGCTTTTGTTGACGACGAGCTCGTCGTGGAGGTCAACGGTGGCGTCAATGAGGAAGAGGTCGTGACGAAGGCGGCGGAGGAAGCGTATCACATTCTCCTTCGCGGCCGGACGAAGAGGATTCGAACAAAGTGAGGACCGGATATTTTCCACATGACGTCTTTTCAAATGCATGTGTTTGAGGCGCTTTTCATCGCCATGTCCACAGGTAGATCGATCGGGAGTGTAGGTCTCAATATCACACCAATTATCACAATCCAGGACTTCATGATATCAGTAATGAACGAGAGATTGAAAAAGAACCTAAAATAAACGCTTACTCTGCTTTCGTGATGATACATACCTACATAAACTACCTACCATCTACGAGACTACCCCCTATCCAGACGGTACTATCCCGTGAGGTCCACAACAAGATCACGAACACGCTTTAAGCCAAGTCCATATATGCAACCTCTAATATCTCTACGCATCCAGCATTCAGTCACTCGCCAGGACATAAAGGAAGTCCAGCTGCCTTAGCCCTCACCAAACACGCTCGTTGTTCCGATAAAATTTCTCCGCATAACCATACTACATAGCCATATCCCGCGCGTAATCCTATCAAATAAACAACAAAAAGCGATACCAAGCCGCATCACCAACTCATACGAACCCAACAAGAAATCACGGCTTTACTGTTTCCTCACTCCCCCAATTCTCACTCACCCAATCCTCACTTTCCCAATTCTCACTCTCCCCATTCTCACACACCCAATATTCACTCTCCCAATTCTCACTTTCCCTATCAGCCTCTCCATTCTGACCATTCCCCCTCCCATTCTCAACTTTCCCATTCTCAACTTTCCCATTCTCAACTTTCCCATTCTCAACTTTCCCATTCACAGCCTTCTCATTCTCACAAACCCAATATTCACTCTCCCAATTCTCATTTTCCCTATTAGTCTCTCCATTCTGACCATTCCCCTTCCCATTCACAGCCTTCCCATTCTGAGCCTTCCCATTCTGAGCCTTCCCATTCACAGCCTTCCCATTCACAGCCTTCTCATTCATAACTTTCCCATTCTCAACCGTCCCAATCCCATCCTCACCCTCAGCAGCCCCCGGCCTCGAAAGCGTCGGATTAAGCGAAAGATAAAAATCGACCGTATCCCTGACCTGTTCCTCGAAGCTCTTGAACTTGAGCGCGAACGCCCTGATAGTAGCCGGTTTACTGATGCGGCACCGGTAGGTCTCCGATCGTGGTTTCTTCACGAAGTGCGTCCCGACCAGCTCCGGGTGGTATTTCTTGACGATGTGGATTGCGTCCGACCAGTGCGTGTAGCCCGAGTTCAGTATGTACCGACCGGCGGGGACACACGGCAACAGGGACTCGACATAACACCTCGCCACATCGTCTATGTGAACCGTTGCCGTGAAGAGTCTCTCGGTGGACTTGCCGAGGAGATGGTTAAGCAGTAGGGAGTTCGAGCCTTTGTTGAACGCGTCCGCGTTTGAGCATAGCGGGTTGGGACCGAGAATTATGGAGGGCAAAAGTTGGACGACATCGAATTTTCGGCCGTTTTCATTAGCGTATTGGTCTACATAAAATAATTCCGCCGTCTTTCCGATGGCAAAAGTAACCATTTTGTCCTCGCGGATCTCACTGAACGCTGGCAGTTTGGGCATTGCGTATTCATCTTGACGCTCTAGTTAGCCACGAACGAGGTTTAAAGCCGACACATCTTACGTGGAATGTACTTCATCTTATTCTTTTTTTCGAGCAGCTCTTCCTGCTCGTAAAATACAGCAATCGACCCGGTAATCACGATCCGCTTCACCTGTCCGATTATGGTGGCCGTGATCATTAACTCGCAGCTGGTCTCGACGGGGTTGTTTACGTAGTCAGACTTCAAGCTTTCTCTGACCTATGATCATGTCAATATAGTGTGGTGAGACTCCAGGTGGTGCGGGAACAACACACCTCAGACCAAGGATTCGGACCGGCGATGTGTATCATATACCTCGCCTTCCCTAGAAGCCGGAAGAAAATCCCCTCAGTTGTCAACGAGTCCACCTGAGTGAATCGTATGTGCTCAAGATATGGATCGGGGATGGACGAAATAAGATTCTCCTGCTTTTCACGCGAGAAGGTGACAGCATGAACTTTGTAACCAGCATCAATGGCCATAAGCATGGTCGCGCGGCCCACAAACGAAGTTGCCGCGGTAATCCGTTATTAGTAGCACTGTTAGCAAGATATGAACCGGACACATTCTGGATGGCTCTGCTCGGAATGGTCACTTACCAAGACCTCAACTCTTGGTTCTTTTGGCCTGGGCTTGACATCCTTAGGTGCACCCTCTTCTCCGGAGGAATTCTCAGATGCATCTTCGCATGCTGCTTTCTTGGGTATGCTCTTTCGAGGCTCGTCTTCTTTCTTGGTCATGGCCTCAGGGGGTGCTTGATTCTGTTCGGCTGCGACATCTCGAGGTGCCTGTTGTTTTTGGGGTTTTTTCTTTGAAGCCGCCTGTATCCATATCTCGCTTTCATACTTCAACCTTTTCTCTCTGCCTCGTCCCGGCCGTACTTTTTTAACTCTGTGTCGTTTAACGATTCGTAATTCTGTGGTTCTGGGCATATTGGATACAGCATACAAATTTCCCTTAAGAATGAGCAAACGAAGTGTTGATGCAATAGATGGATTGGGTGATAGATGATGCATTCGGCACGAATATCGAAGCCTGTTTCGACTCAACGTGCTCCTACCCCCATTTTGAGCTGTTTATTCATGACTTGTGAAGTGTAAGTTCCATTGGTATAAGCAGTCGTGCAAGGAAGTGATATTCAGATATCCCTTCTTCAGGACCATTGCATTCTGCCGATGTGATGTGCTCACTGTGCTCCCGGTAAAGGTCTTGCGTAGGGCGTTGCAGTCGACAGATGTGCCATTTGCCTTGCCTACCTTGTCACATTTTACATTTGACTGATTTCTTGTCAACAGGGATATGGCGTTGATATCTCCCGTGTGAATGATTTGGCAGTCGCTCGATGTCATCGTGAATTAATCCAGGTAAGTGTACATGACAACAAAACTTCCAATGTGCACAGTTGCGATCGCAAGAGCCAAGACATCACAATGATTAATAGCCTATTGATGATGGTAATGATATGATGAGTTCCGTTAAACCCCACGCCCTCTCCTCACAGCAGTAGCCATCGACAAGAACCAAAAACAGGAAGAGTTAAAAAAAAAATCCAAGAAATATAAACAATGAACAGAGAAAAAGAGGAAGAAAAAAAAACAAGGGGTTGCAACTCCCAGTTGAACTGAGAGAGGCATCAGGAATTGAGCCCGATGCGGGGGTCGAACCTGTGACGGAAAGATTTAGTACAAGGAAAACTCGACGATTTTCATGGGAGAGAAAGTGACTTACCCGCAACCTTGAGATTAAGAGTCTCACGCTCTACCGATTGAGCTAACCGGGCGAGATCGGTTGGTGATTTTTTCCAATCCATAAAACGCGCAATTGTACGTCCGTACGGATCCTTACGTCCGCGTGAACGAACCGGGTTACCTAATTTTGCTCACAGGCGTCAGAGCCTGGCAGTGAAGATTTTTAGTGAAGACTTTTAGTGAAGACTTTTAGCGTTAGAGGAGCCCTATAAGATTCGACTTAGGCAGCGTAAGGAATAGGTAGGTACGCCTAGGTACCTTATTCCGTAGGTATTCTAGCGTGTGTCTAGGTACCCAGTGTACCTAATCGCGAGACCCGCCAGTTCACTCAACCCTTCAAACTACAACAACAACAACAACAACAACAACAAAATGCCGAATGAATGATTCCTGCTGTTTCTCTGGTGTCAATTACGAAGAGACAGCAATTTCTTAACAAGCTTTCAAAACAGTATATACAAACATTGTGAAGTGATATGAAGTCCTGAACTCGACTCCAAGTTCACCACGTCGCCAGACACCCTCCCTACCTATATCAAGCTGTAAATCTAAGCGGAATTTTTTATTGGTAATATCTTTTGCCCTGCTTGTTACATCTTCAAGCTGCCATTGATTACCTATCGCAACAGAGCACCCGAACTCAACAAAACTTTTCCGCGCAATGTCCGAGGATATTGATAGTTCCTTACATATTAGGTACTGTACTGTCTGACCGTCCTAGTCAGTTTTCAGAGGCAAAACATTATCTTCTACTTCGATCCACAACAGGCTCTGACCTCCGTCAGAGCTTTGACTTAGGTCAAACCGTTGCTAGTCATGCTCACGCGAACAATAAAAACCAAAAAGGGAACAATTCAAAATGCCAATTTTATTTATCATGTGTGCCTCGATGGAGCACCGTCTGTGATTTGTTCAACAGAATCGCCGCGACGAACACCTGCACAGAGGATTGTGACACGGTGTGGACGAAAATCTGCTCCAGGGAGACGGATACTTCCAAAGAAAGAGGCCTATAAACTGAACGGCAGATGTACGAGTACAATCACAAAGCTACTCACACACCAATGGCCGGTAGGTATGGGAGAGACAGGGGATTGTACAAGACTGAAGAAAAGAAGAAGAAGAAGAGAGTAGGAGAGAGAGGGGAGGGGAAGCCTCCTTATATACACAATTCCTGTGCTACATTGCAGCCCTGATTTCTTCCGTTGCATTCCGCATCTACCTATTGGTAAGTACGTACGGATTACGTAATAAGACTCGGATTCAACCTTAGTCACGCTAACGTAGATCTCACGGGAGTTCCCGATTGTTATCTGTCCGTGGGACATTGTTCAGTGCTTCGATTGGGCCGCGTATTAGGTATACCTACCTCCACTAATTGAACTACCTCTAAACCATGTATGGGGGGGCCGGGGAAGCCCACTGTAGGTACACTATAACTTAGGTACCTACCTAGGTAGGTACGAAGTAGGTATCCAGTGACCGTACATAAAATTGTCATTCTGTGATCCTCCCAAGGACAGACCTAACCGCTCTTAAAACTTTTTTTATTATTTCATATAAAATAAATACAACATATAGCTCCTAAAGCAGGTGTTCCTACTGTCAACTTTTGAAAGAGCGGTTCAGATTATTTTATGTATGTAAGACTTCACCTATCATGTTACCGGCCCTCAAAGGAGAGGGTTTACCATCATCGAGTCCTCGAGATATGCATAGGTATGTGAATGTATGAAATGTAGGCATATGCCGATCGATAAACATACAATACATTTGTAGCTACGACACCACCGCGCCTGGTAGAGGCGATTGCGACAGCGTCATCGTCCAGATTTAACATCAGCTGAAACTATGCGGGACTCAGTACATATGATACCTTGCCTCACATATCGTTCAAGAGTGCTGGTAAACGCAATGCCTGCATGCACGCATGCTACATAGCCGTTCTTGAGTCTTGACATTGACGAGGAGGGCACATCTAGTAACTCCAAATGTACAGATGCACCGAGGTACATCGCAACACTGCATACCTACCTGCATAGAGTACCATTAGGGTTCAAACGCTCATTGGTGCTCGTCACTTTGAAGCTTCAACTTCCGACATGGGCCTCGGCGTCCTGCTGACTGTTTCTAGAACCATTCCCTGTCAAGGGGATCATCTCAGGGGAGGCGAGCACTAATTATAATAGCAATATTTGACAAATCAACACACTGGAGCGTATAAAAAGTGTAGCATGGCAAACCAGGCAGATCAGAACGTCATTGCCTAGGAGTGGGACTGGGAATTACGTGTTTTGTTGTCGGCATCCCTTTGCTCACCCGCTGCGGAGTGCCGCTGCTGTGCTCCTTTTCGCAATCCTGCCATCGCACCATATCAAATCTGATCAACTTGATGGTCACTACTCATCCAGCTTTTGGAGGCAAAAAAGACGAAGGGCGTAACCGACCGGGTTGTGATTATTGCAATGAGACGGCTTCGTCCAAACGGGCCCCCGAGGCCACGGCCTGTGAGCTGGAGTGCGATTCCAGCCGACGACCCAGCTGCCCATGAGCAGATAATCAAGTTCATCTCCGAGTCGATGGTAGACGATATTCAAAGCAATATATCAAGCGGGTTCATGCGACAAGTAAATGCTTCCAAGAAAAGTGCCATGTCGCCTCACGACAAGGCAGAACGGATGCGCATAGTCCGCAATATGCGAACGACCCTAGAACGTCTGACGGAGGAGATGGGACAGAAGTTTTTCGAAGAGTATCGTCATAGGCCGGCTGTGGGTCGATGGTATGACTCCTGGTTGTTGAACGATCCCCCTCAATTTTTGCGTTGGGAGCAGGAATGGGCCTTCACGCCCGATGAAGCCCTGATGGCGGCCTGCACGCAAAGCACTAGCGGCAGTATCGAGGAGCGTGTCTCTGTTTCTGAGAAAAGAGCTGGAATCGCTCCCGGAGTCCGGGTAGAATTCGAAGATGACATCAAAGACTCTGAAGGTAACCGAAAGTATCCCAACGACTCCGGGTACAGATCGGACGCCCCGGTAACAGAAGTAAGTTTGAAACCCGATTCCTCGCCGCATCAAAGCGAGGCTAGCATCTACGTGACCATGGCACAGTTCGATTGACGTCAGTGTTTTCAGAAGAAAACCAATGCCCCAATGCAATCTTTCATCTGTTGTCAGTGCAGACACGCAGATGAAGGTTCAGACGTAGAAAATACCACCCATCTCTGCCAGACATGTGCCTGTAGCGATCAGGGACAAGGCTGTATTGCTTCCTGCTGTTGCGATGAGACATGTCAAAATACCTTCAACAGAATCGCGCTTGACAACATTCTCGGGACCGACACTTCTGGAAAGCTAGCCCTCAATGCCTGTGCTGTCACCTTCTTGCAAAAACATGACTTAAATGAACCCATTACTCTTGAGTATCTATTTGAACATCTCCTACCTGGTCTCGACTATGTTCCCGATGGGAATGACGAGGCAATTGACGCATGGCGGGTGAAGTGGCAGACGATCTACGACGGACCGGATGCGGAGGCGCAAATAGAAGCCCTCCAGCGTGAGCTTACTCAGCTCGGACTCGGCGTTGGCCGTGGAAAAAGTCATAGGGACTGGTTTTTCTCATTCTGCTACAGCAATAACGAGCGACTTGGAAGCTGGCAACAAGGTCATCAGATATGGCACTGCGGAGACTGCAGGAAATGTAATGAGCGGCAAGCATGGCATTGTGAACAATGCAACAAGTGTCGATACGGGCGGAGAGCACCTTGCGGCAACTGTGGAGGCGTCTCAGATTCGTACCACGAATATCATAATGCATGATGGCCGGTTGCATCCGAGATGAGCGTAAGAATTTAGGATCGTGTTGATCCGACTGGATGTGTCCTGGAAGAACACGGGGAGATCCGCATTACTCACCTAACCCACACTATGCAGAATGGGGGCAGGGGCGTGGCACGGGTACCGGTACCTAGAACGAATGCTACTTCGTAGGTAGCTGTACGTACGTACGCGACGGATCCGTAAGTAGAGCTCATTGGCGTCCACTACCTAGAGAAATCATTTTGAGGTTGATACCTAGTTGTGGCACGTGACATCTCCATACTTAGTTGAATAGCCCCGTAACAAGATTGTCACCTGTCACGGCTGGCAGCTGTCACCGCAGCAAGTCTGTGACAGACGTGACGCAGTACAACATTACATAATGTGATTACGAAATCACTGCTTTACGTAGATGCCATCAATGCCATCTACGACACCTACAACCTGGGCCTTGTGTTGAATAGTACCATCTTTTTCCAAACCAAATTGACATAGATTCATTCACCTTATCATATTTGAAGGTTCCAATTACCTATCGCCTGTTAATAACTTATTTCAGACGTGAACATATCAGTGAACGACACCAACGACGAATACTTAGAACACGACTATCATCACGACTTCAAGTTCATCCACCTAATCCTCCAGATTATCCATTGCCTGCGCGATTCCGATAGCCCCCTTCGATTATCTACGACAGATAAAATTACCTATCTCAATCGTAATACGGTCACTTCCGCTTCTGGGTTGGCTCCACATTGCGGCGAGTGCGCATCTTTTACTGCTGCTTGGAGCATCGACAACCATGAGGCTGCGCTTATGATTCGTCTCCTTCCCTTGAAGGAGTCCCACCATGCCGCCCGAAGGACGCACAACTAATATCCGCGTCTTCATAAAATGGGATGATCAAACTGTATTCGCCGGAGAGGAGGTCAGATGCCAGATTACCTTCAAAAATGTCGTGCCCGGCCACAGCCGGCTTGCTTCAACTCCGGTTCCGGCTTCAATCCCGGCCTCAATCAGTCAGCGTCAACCTCCGCAGTCATCACCGCGTGCCGATCGACAGCTGAGACAGTCCTCGCCACTTGTTAGTCCACGAGGAAAGCTCAATAATGCTGGCCTGACACCCCCTACACTCACTCGCGGTCACCGCTCAGCCTTGTCCCTCAATGTGTCTTCTACAAGCTCGCGCCTTAGGGGGAATTTGCAAC